TGAGGGGTCTGAGAGGAACTGGAGGAGGAGGCAGTGGACATGGTGGCTCCGCGGGCCCTGGACGACGCCAGCAGACACGAAGGCGCGGAGCGTGTGGAAGCCGGCGCGATAGTGCGTGCGAGTGTGTAAGGGGGAGGGGCGGGGGTATCGGAGAAGGGGAGGAGTCTCTCGGCTCCCCCTTCCCAACGCGCACCCCCGTCGTCTTGGCGAGGGGGGAGGGGAAAGCTGCGAAAACAAACGTCCAACGGCCCCAACCGCCCGGCCGGTCTCGCTGTGGTGGTCACGGCTGGAGCCGCGAGGAGCCTGGTGCCGCCGCCACCCCGGGCATCGCGGTGACAGGGAAGCGGGGCAACTGCCTGGATCACGCAGCCCTAGGGGCTGCTCGCAGACTACTCAGCCCTCGCGGGGCGGCACGCGCGGGAGTACCCGGCAGCTGGAGGGAGGGCCGGGCCCTTCCTTCTGGGGATCAGAAGAAAGGGGAAGGGCTTCGGGGTGCTTGGCACTCCGCCGAAGCCCCGCCACCGCGAAAGCCGCCGCGTCCTCTATACGATCCTCACTCTGACTGGCAACTAATCCCCCCACCCGCACCCCGCACCCCGGCACCGCCTCCCGGCCTTTGGGACCGGGCAGCTGCCGCAACGAGGTTTCTCATTGGCTACGCCGCTCACCATCAGCACTCGAGTGATTGGTTCTAGAGTAGGAGTGAGCGGAGCCTCCACCAATGAAAGTAGAGCATTCTACCTTTGGGGCGGAGAGTGAGGGAGTGGAGGAGTGAGGAGTGGGCTGGCCGCGCCAGGAGGGGCGAGAGAGTTGACAGCCTTTGAGGTGAGAGCGAGACTTTGACTGGGCAGCCCTAGGGTCCATGTGTGTCTTGCGCGTGCCCTGACACCCACAGACACTCGCACGCTCCTCTAAGCAGGTTGTAAGTGCTCCACCTTCCTGGGCAGTCTGCTAATTAAGGCAGAAGACAGTTAAGGCAAACTTTATTTTGCGAGTATACCTGTTCCGATGGGTTGTTTTAGAGTCAGAAGGATCCATCCCTTCCTAATTTTAGTAATCTTGAGTTTTCGTGGCTAGTAGACTGATCAAAACAACTTAAGGTGCTTGACATAATTAACAAAGATCAAGAGCTATGTCTGGAAGATGAACAAAGGGACCATCATTTCATTTCATAGCCCATCCTAACATTTGTAGTTAGCAGTGAAATGAGGTAATGAAATCTTATGCTCCAGGACAGTATTACATGGATCAACAAGGAATTTTACATCATTCACCACCAATTAGGTATAGTCCCTCAGTATTTGTTCCAGGACCCCCACAGATATCAAAATTCGAGGATGCTCAAGTCCCGTATATAAAATGGCATAGTGTTTGCATATAACCTACGCACATCCTCCCATATACTTTAAATCACCTCTAGATTACTTATGATACCTAATACAATGTAAATGCTATGTAAATAGTTGTTATACAGTACTGTATTGTTTAGGGAATAATGACAAGATGGGAGGCGAACAATGCTCAAAGAGTGCTGGAGAGAGACTGAAGATCTGTGAAATGGCGGAAGGCTACATCAGGGTGTGCCTACACATCACTTTGTTTGCATGGATTCAGTGTAGCGCTCGGGGTGAGTGGCAAATTCAAGTTTTGATTTTTGGAACTTTCTTCTATTTTTTTTCCTCTTTCTCGAATATTTTTGATCCACGGTTGGTTGAATCTGTGGATAAGGAAACTGCAGATACAGAGGGCCACTGTATATTAGTGGAGAAAACATCCTTGACTTTCTCCAGAAGCAGCCTCTTGGGAAGAATAAATACCAGACTTAATTTAACAATCCACTGGGATAAATTCTGTTTTTACTCTATAATGCAACTGAAGAGGTACAAAAGCTTTGACTATCAACAACTTAAGTTTACCTCACCGTAAATCATGGTTTTAAATCTTAAACAGGAACAATTTCAGTCTACATCAGATATCTTCCATTAATTTCCATGAGGTAAAAAAGGGAAGTGGGATTCCAGACTAGTCTACTTCTGATGTCTGCCCAAACTGACAAGCTTCCTCTGATTTCAGGCACTGCAGGGGTCTGTTTCACTCAGAGGAGGCATCTTTCTCTGCTTCCTTGTGTTCTCAGACCAGAAAGCATACATAGTTCAGTAACAAAAATTGATGAAACCCAATAAGAATACAAAAATTGCATCCAGTACTTCATCGCATTAAGACTAGTGAAAGCTCCTCACTTTGTCACACTAGAATAATAGCTAATGTTTATTGAATATTCACCACCTCCCAGCCACTGTTCCAAGAACGTTCCATGCGTTAACTCATTTAGTCCTCTCAACAATCCACAAGCTAGATACTATCATCATCCCCACTGTGTTCTCAGCTGAAGCACAATGCGGGTAAATATCTTGCTCAAGATCACTCAGCTAGTAAGTGGGGAGCTAGGAATCTAACACAGGCAGTCTGGCTCAAGAGTCTGTGAATAGCTCTCTGCTCTACTGCCTCATAGCTTAAAGTTGTGGAGTACATGATAGTAGGGTATTTATAATAGACTACAAATCTCACCCGTGAGATAAATTCCCTTTTAGTGCAAAAGACATTTTACCAGTTAAAACAGTCCACCGTTGTTTTGCTTTCCAAAATAACATGTATTTTAATTATAAATAGGGTAAATACTCCTTCAAGGTTGGTATAATTCATCTGACTTGTGTTAGTTTTTTCATGTAAAAATTAATGATTCCTCATTAATTAGGAAATTGCATTCTTTCATGAGTAGAAACAACGACAAATGACTTCTCTCTGGTGACTCCTTCAGAAGAGTAAGAATAAAAAATTTTGACATTAAAATATGTAAAGCTTTAAAAAATGCTGGTAAGTTTCTAAGTTGTTGATTTGATTACAGCATGGTTTCATTATAGAAATGTTATCTCTGGCCACTCCTAAATATAAGTATGGAACAACCTCAACACATTAGATTATAATAATTCTAAATTTATACCAAGTGACAGTAACTATGATCAGTACTTAATTTGGAACTAAAACAAGTCAACATACCTCACCACATTTTAAGGCTTTATGTGTTTGTTCAAATCTACCACAGCCAACTTAACTCAGATATCTAAAGCAAATCTCAATGAACTACACAAAGAATTAGTATGATCCTAAAATACTATTTTCAGTTACTGGTATGTCATCATGATCTGTTTGGAAGTTCAATCACCTCTCTTTTGAGTTCTTAATAAAATTTTATTCTTATTGGGGTTGGGAATGGGGCTCCAAGAGTATGCATAGGCTTTAGGAAAATGTTCTCCTCAGTAAATTGGAAATCCTTTAGGAGGATATGTGGACTTCTGGGCTGGAATAGCGTTCTTATGCTACTATGCTATTTACAGGATAGATTGGCACATTGCTGATTTTGCCTATTTTGTTAAATATAAGTGTAGCAATCTCTGAAAATTCCACATAAGTCTTAATGTTGGTAATGACCTCTTTACTATGTTGTTCTTACTAGAAGAAGACAAAACTGAAAGCAGAAACTTGGTGGCATGCGGAATGCCTTTGTTCTCAGTAGCCCCCTTGCCTTGGCTATCTGTGGGACAAGACTCCACCATCAGCTAATCTGATGTAGAATTCTATCATACCTACTTCTTAGTTCAAATATGGTAATGGACTATGTTTTAGGGTAAATTGAAATGTAGAATTATTGGCTACCTATGATTAATATGGAAGCCCTGGTGGCATAGTGGTCAAGAGCTATGGCTGCTAACCAGAAGCCCAGCAGTTTGAATCCACCAGAGGCTCCTTGGAAACTCTATGAGGCAGTTCTACTCTGTTCTATAGGGTCGCTATGAGTCAGAATTGACTCGATGGCAATGAGTTTGGTTTTAATGGGGTTTTATGATTAATATGGAGTTCCTGGGTGGTGCAAATGGTTAAGCACTCAGCTATTAACTGAAAGGTGGGAAGTTCGAGTCCACCCAGGGATGCCACAGAAGAAATGCCTGGCAATCTACTTCTGAAAAATCAGCCATTGAAAACACTATGGAACACAGTTCTATTGTGACACACATGGGGTTGCCATGAGTTGGAACTGACTAGACGGCAATGGGTTTGTTTGTTTTTAAATGATTAATATGTAGCCCCATGTGGAGAGATAATCAGATGAAGAACCATCAGGCCTACAGAGCTACTGAAGGAAGGGGCTTGGCTTCCAGAGATGAAAGTCTTCCTCTTCTGTTTCCATCCAGGTTTGCCAGGCTGTACATCCAAGGCCCATCCAAATCTAAGAAGCAGCCCAGTCTGCCACTATTAGCAATGAGGTCATGGCTGGGAGAGAACACTAAACAGATCTGCACTGATGTTCATTTTAAGCTGATTAAACTCTCTTGTAGGTGATTCTTAATAGCAACACAACAAAAAATCCTTGCCTGCATTTTTGTCCCTGGCAGATGCTAATAGTAAAACTCCCCACAACTTGTGACAGCCTACGTGCGCCTTTGCACTGCTGTTCCCTCTGCCTGAAAGGCTCTTGCGCCAGATATCCATGTGGCTTGTTCCCTCATTTCCATCAGGTCTTCACTCAAATGTCACCACTTTGGTGATAACAGCATCTCTGAACACCCTTTTAAAAATTCTAAGTCCCCGTTAGGCATTCCTACTCTCCCACTTTATTTTTCTCCAGAGCACTTATTGCCATCCAACCAATCATATATTATAATCATCATTTTGTATGTCTGTTCTATCTAGAATATAAGAGCCATGAAGGCAGGATTTTTAAATCTATTTTATAACTGCTACATCTCCAGAACATTGCTTGGTACATCGTAAACAATAAAAAAAAAAAAAAAAAAATCCGTTCAATGATGTTGAGAGAGTAGCAAATTTTAACCCATACTTGTCCCATGAACTAAAACTTACGCTTTTCATTTTATATATATATATATATATATATATATGATAGTAACAGGTGTATCTCTGCTGCAATGACAAAGCCACAGAGTAGAAAAGTGTTCTATGTGGCTACTGTAAACTATACAGATATGTGCATTGAGGCTGACATTCAAAAAGAAAGCACTATCTTGTATTATGGTCCTTATACAGGCAAAGTGAAAAATATTAGCCCCAGTGGCTCCTGGAGGCTCATCAGAGGTTGAAAATGGAAAACAGAATTGATAATGAAGAAAAGACAGTTGAACTTTATAGAAAAAAAGGACAACTGAAATAGAGAGTGACAGTTGAGGAGGATCAGTTAGGGAGTGACATCTGCTGATTGGTAGTTGGTTCTATCTTGCTGTTATGAACAGCTATTCTCAAGAGGCTGTGTAA